AGCCCCACCTCTGCTCAGCCCCACCTCTGCTCAGCCCCACCTCTGCTCAGCCCCACCTCTGCTTAGCCCCACCTCTGCTCAGCCCCACCTCTGCTCAGCCCACCACAGAGAGATCCCTTTTACACCAGTACTTTTTAGGTGATTCCAGACCTTTTAAGTTCCTGCTTCTCTGGTGGGACCGTTGGAGCTCAGTCGAGCTGGGAGGACCGGGAGTCCGAGACGGAGGGTGGAAACGTTTTATTTTAAAACATTTTATGTGTAAAAAAAATAATGTTTTTATCATTGAAGAATAAAAATAAACAGTGCCGGCTTTATCATGAAATCCTGTTTTCACTTTGACTTTATTAAATAATCTGCTAATTAAAGTTAACTCAGCTAAAAATCATAAGACAAAATTATTGGATCTGTCAGGAATATTTCCCTCAAACATGTTTAAAGAAGAGACGCAGCCTTTGATTCAACTTTATTCTAACCCACAGATGAACAAATCACAAAACAAGAATTACACTTTAATTTAAAGCTAAAATAAAATCTGTATACAACAAACAAAACCACACAATACAAGGAACAATGAGTGCAAATACATCAAACGATGAAGAAAAATATAGAATTTTAAATATAATTTTAAATATAGATGTTTTTGTAGGATCTGGTTCATCAGATTTAATTCAGTTTATTTCTAAAGCTCCAAGTCACAACAGAGCACTGAACAGAAACATTCATATTAAAATAATAACTGAACATTATTTCTCTGAGGAGCAGACTGCTTCGAGTTGAACTCCATCGCAGAACTCTCACTCTTAATGGTGAACTAAAGTTCATTAAAAGTTCATTAGCAGGATTTTGGATTCTGGACAAGCCTCCAGAACCCGTCCTGAAGTGCAGGTGCAAATCATGCTGACCTGAGCAGAACTGAGTAGGAGCGGTGCAAAGGGGCATTAAAGATGCTTGAAATACCAAAATCCCTCTCCACCGATCAGCACACGAATGCATCACAGCCAACTGCCTGTTCACTGAACCTACAAAACAAGAGGCAACTTTGCACCTGACTGGAAATACCACGACATTTAATCTCACAAAAATAAAAAAAAATCTCATTGGATCAATTAAATGTGAGAAAACCTGGACC